CGCTCAGAAAGCCACGCCCACCATACTTTCGCGGCAAGTACAGCCTCATTACCGACGATCTCGGATGATGCATCCTATGGGACGTCATGGTAGTGCGGACTTTTCTATCCAGGGCGTTAAGCTCAGTCTGAGTCCACCTGAGTATGCCAAAGGTATACATGAGGACAGGCATGACCCAGCCGTTATATGCGTGTGTCTTATTCACACCGGACAAAAGGCTGTTAAGCACTTTGGTCAAGCGTGCATAAAACACGTCGCAAACTGACTGTTTCATACCAGCCTCATCGATACCGATGTTCTGTGATATACCCAGGTATCTGTATGTTTCAGCCTCGGAAAGGGTCCTTAAGTTGACGGGCATAGACAAGTCTATGCCCTCAGAGTTAGCAACCCTTCCCCTTTCAACATGGAGGACCGCACACTTATCCGTCCCCAGCTCCATTCCAATGGAACTGCTAAATTCACAAGTGATGTTTAGCAGTTCCATAAGATGGGAGCGACTGGAGGCGAATAACTTGAGGTCATCCATATAGAAAAGGTGGGTCACTTTTGTCCCTCCTCTCCGTAGCTGAAATCCCCTCCCGGAGCCCTCCAGTAAGGTACTGAGAGGGTTAAGAGAGAGGCAGAACCAGATTGGACTCAGACAATCGCCCTGGAAGATACCCCTTCTTATCCTTATGTGGTTCTCCGCAGCTGTCATTCGCTCGCCCAGATGACAAAGGATCGTACTCCACTGCCCCATACACTGCTCGAGGAAGTCTCTAACTGTACAGTCAATCTTGTACAGCTCGAGGACCCTCTTTAGCCATGTATGGGGCACCGAGTCGAACGCCTTTCTGTAGTCTATCCAGGCGGCAGAGAAGTTCCGACGGTTGCGTTTCACCACTTTGCCTATGACCGCGTCAATGAGGAGTGGTTCCTTAGTTCCACGACCACCGCCCCGACATCCATTTTGAGCGCGTGACATCACCTGGTTTAGCTCCAGGTGACGAGTGATTGTCGCGCTCAAAATGGATGTCAGTGTCTTATATATGGTGGGTAGACACGTGATGGGGCGGTATTTGCTCGGGTCTGTGGTATCTTGATCTTTAGGAACCAAGTGAGTGATCCCAGTAGTGAAGAGGTTCGGGAGTGACTTCTGGTCGAGAGCCTCTTGAAACTGTCGGGCGAGCACAGCGTGACACACTACGAACCCCTTCAGCCAGTAATGATGCAGCCCGTCGAGCCCCGGACTTTTCCAGTTCGGAGCCCTACGGACCGCCTCAGTCACGTCTTCTGGCGTTATGGTGATGGGGTCCATAGGCGTAACACTCGCACCCTGGCTCGCCATAACTTCCATCCAAGGGCCCTCACTGTGGTTTACGGGCTCTGACCACAGGCCACGCCAGAATGCGATAATGTCAGCCTGATCCGGTCCTTGGCCCGCTACACATACCTTTGGTCGCTCCAATAATTTATAGAGCCTCTTCTGATCACTCTGGAAGAGACGATTCTGGTTGAACCGCCTTGACCCCTCGGAAAATCGTCGAATCCGCTTCCCCCAAGCAGCTATCTTTTGCTTCAGGTCGTCTATGCGCTCTGTTAGTTTCTGCATGATATCCGGCTGGGACAAACTGATATTTGTTCCAGCAAACGCCATCCTAACGGTGCGCATAATCCTCGGTCTATTATTACCCGACCTGAAGCTTGTCAGTCTGCCGATAAGGGCCCTTGCCTTTGCGATACGGTCCTCGATTCTTTTCCTCCAGGCTGGGATGGCGTTACTTTGTGTAGTAGCGCGTCCAGCCATGGGAAGTTTGGCGCCAATAATACGGCAAACTGCCACTGCGGCGCCAAAGAGAATCGAGTCCGTCTCGCAAAGGTCCCGGCTGGCTTCCAAATAGGTCACCAGCATTGGGTTAAGAGCCCTCACGACAGCCCGATTTCGCTTGCTTAAGGGTATGCGGGGAAGTCGAAGATTTTCGAGAGGGGTGCTGCGCGTTTCCAAAATCGCCTCTTCCAATATACTCCTCATTTGCTCTAGTTCGTGGGAGACTATTTCATCGTCGTTCGAATCAACCACAACTGGAAGATCCATGGCGGCTTCCACGTGTGGATGCTGGTCTGTCGAATGTGGAGCTGCATCTCCAGCCATAGCCGATTCATTCGACGACGGAATAGCCTCACGTCGTAGTCGTTCGAGTTCGGCATCATCAAATATTTTCGAGCGCATGATGTACCGAACTCGGTCTGCCAGGTTTTGTTCCGTGACGGGGATAGACGGCTCCAGCTCAGCAAAAAAGCAATGCATCCGAGACCTATACGCTATTCCCACAGTTTCTTCCCCTTTCGCCCTATAGTACGCCCGCAATGCGTTTTCGTTCATGGATTTTGTCCAACGCATGCGACGTGCTCCACCAGCGGCGGGTGCGCTTGCTGGGTCCGAGAAGACCCAGCCGACACCAAGCCTTCTGGTGGGGATGGGAGAGGGGCTGTGGGGTCTCCTCGCGCGGGGGGCCGCAGGGACGCGCCCCGGGACAGGAGCGGCCCTATGCGCGTTCCTTTTTGTTATTATTATGTGTGGGGTATCTTATAGTTTTCTATCTGGTTGGGATGTATAATATATAATTATAAACGAAAATGAAAAGATAAACATACAAAAATATCAATAAAATAAAATAAATATGAAAATGCATAAATAAATAAAAGCTTATTATCATTATTATTATTATGGGGTATCTATATAGTTTTCTCATCTGGTTGGGTTCTATAAATATATAATTATAAATGAAAATGAAAAAATAAATATACATAAATATCAATAACATAAAATAAATATAAAAGTACATAAATAAATAAAAGCCCAACCAGATGGAGGCCCTCGGCAGGGGAGACCAAACGGCCGAGGGTTAGGGGGAAAGGGAAAGAAACCGGCGGACGATGCGGGCGGTATCGAGGAGCACCGCCTTCTGCATTTGAACCTGGAGCGGTCCGCCACGTAGTCCCAGCCGCCTCAGATGACCCGAGAGGCTGACTGGGATTAGCCCGTTTGCAGAGACGACTACAGGAATAATTTCGGTCGGCAGACCACCCCACATGTCGGTCACCTCGTGAGCCAGGTCCAGATATTTTGTTTGCTTGTCTGTTTCGGCTTTCACGAGGTTCTCGTCATACGGAATGGTAATGTCGACCAAAAATATCCTTGACTGTGCCCGGTCCATCAGCACAATATCAGGCTTATTCGCAAGAATAGTCCTGTCTGTGATGATGGCCCGGTCCCAGTAGAGCCTGGCGCGATCATTTTCGAGCACGGCTTCCGGCAAGTACTTGTAGTACGGCAATTTCCGGTCCACGAGGCCGTATTTCAGAGCGAGCTCCTGGTGTAGAATTCTGGCTACTAGGTTGTGCCTGTGCAAGTACTCAGAGTTAGAAAGCGCCGAACAACCGGAGATAACATGCCTAAGTGACTCACCGGGATGGCGACAAGCTCGACAGATGTCGACGGTGCCATCCTTTAGGATGTATCTCCGATAGTTGTTGGTCTTAATAACCTGATCCTGTATTGCACAGACAAAACCCTCGGTTTCCCCGAAGAGATCACCAAAGCGTAGCCAGTGGAGGGAGGCTACTGTGTCTACGAAAGGCTCATGTAGAGCCTTGTAGAACCTCCCGTGGAGCTCCTTCTCCTTCCATACGGTCTCTCGGTCGGAAATGCTCTGCACTGCCGGGTCTTGCCATTGCTCGTTGGCTAAGGATAGAGGGGTAAGTCCTTTATCACAAGAAATGACGTCCATATAGAATGGATCATCCGATCTCGCCAGGAAGTAATCACGGAGGCTGCACACTTCGCGATTATGCATGGTGAGCGCGCTCAAGAAGCCACGACCACCATGCTTCCGCGACAAGTACAACCTCATTACCGACGATCTCGGATGATGCATCCTATGGGACGTCATGGTAGTGCGGACTTTTCTATCCAGGGCGTTAAGTTCAGTCTGAGTCCACCTGAGTATGCCAAAGGTATACATGAGGACAGGCATGACCCAGCCGTTATATGCGTGTGCCTTATTCACACCGGACAAAAGGCTGTTAAGCACTTTGGTCAAGCGTGCATAAAACACGTCGCAAACTGACTGTTTCATACCAGTCTCATCGATACCGATGTTTTGTGACATACCCAGGTATCGGTATGTTTCAGCCTCGGAAAGGGTCCTTAAGTTGACGGGCATAGATAAGTCTACGCCCTCAGAGTTAGCAACCCTTCCCCTTTCAACATGGAGGACCGCACACTTATCCGTCCCAAGCTCCATTCCAATGGAATTGCTAAATTCACAAGTGATGTTTAGCAATTCCATAAGATGGGAGCGACTGGAGGCGAATAACTTGAGGTCATCCATATAGAAAAGGTGGGTCACTTTTGTCCCTCCTCTCCGTAGCTGAAATCCCCTCCCGGAGCCCTCCAGTAAAGTGCTGAGAGGGTTCAGAGAGAGGCAGAACCAGATTGGACTCAGACAATCGCCCTGGAAGATACCCCTTCTTATCCTTATGTGGTTCTCCGCAGCCATCATCCGCTCGCCCAGATGACAAAGGATCGTACTCCACTGCCCCATACACTGCTCGAGGAAGTCTCTAACTGTACAGTCTATCTTGTACAGCTCGAGGACTCTCTTTAGCCATGTATGGGGCACCGAGTCGAATGCCTTTCTGTAGTCTATCCAGGCGGCGGAGAAGTTCCGACGGTTGCGTTTCACCACTTTGCCAATGACCGCGTCAATGAGGAGTGGTTCCTTGGTTCCACGACCACCGCCCCGACATCCATTTTGAGCGCGCGACATCACCTGATTTGAGTCCAGGTGACAAGTGATTCTCGCGGTCAAAATGGATGTTAGTGTCTTGTATATGGTCGGTAGACACGTGATGGGGCGGTATTTGCTCGGGTCTGTGGTACCCTGGTCTTTAGGAACCAAATGAGTGATCCCAGTAGTGAAGAGGCTTGGGAGCGACTTCTGGTTGAGAGCCTCTTAAAACTGTCGGGCAAGCACAGAGTGACACACCATGAACCCCTTCAGCCAGTAGTGATGCAGCCCGTCAAGCCCCGGACTTTTCCAGTTCGGGGCCCTACGGACCGCCTCAGCTACGTCATCCGGCGTTATGATGACGGGGTCCATGGGCGTAATACCCGCACACTGACTCGCCACAACTTCCGTCCAAGGGCCCTCGCTGTGGTTTACGGGCTCTGACCACAGGCCGCGCCAGAATGCTACAGTGTCGGCCTGATTCGGTGCTGGACCCGTTCCACTTACCATTGGTCGCTCCAATGATTCATAGAGCCTCTTCTGATCACTCTGGAAGAGACGATTCTGGTTGAACCGTGTCGACCTCTCGGTATATCGCCGAATCCGTTTTCCCCAAGCAGCGATTCTCTGCTTCAGATCATCTATGCGTTCCGTCAGTTTTTGCGTTATATCCGGCTGGGACAAACTGACATTTGTCCCAGCAAACGCCATCCTGACGGTGCGCACAATTCTTGGCCTGTTGTTGCCTGATCTGAAGCATATCAGTCTGCCGATGAGAGCTCTAGCCTTTGCGATACGTTCCTCAATTCTTCTTCTCCATGCTGGGATAGCGCTACTATGGCCAGTAGCGCGTCCAGCCGTGGAAACCTTGGCGCCTATGATACGGCAGACTGCCAGCGCGGCGCCAAAAAGAATTGAGTCCGTCTCGCAAAGGTCCCGGCTGGCTTCCAAATAGGTCACCAGCATTGGGTTCAGAGCCCTCACGACAGCCCGATTCCGCTTGCTTAGGGCTATGCGGGGAAGTCGCGGTCGATTTTCGAGAGGCGTACTGCGCGTTTCCACAATCGCCTCTTCCAATGTACTCCTCATATGCTCTAATTCCAGTTCCTGGGCGACTGTTCCATCATCGTTTGAATCAACCACAACTGGGGTATTCACGGCGGCATCCACGTTTGCGGGTTGCTCTACCATTTGTGGCGCCGCATCCTCAGCCGTAGCATTCTCATCCGACGAGGGAACAGCCTCACGTCGTAGCCGTTCGAGTTCGGCGACATCAAATATATTTGAGCGCAAGATATACCGAACTCGGTCTGCCAGGTTTTGCTCTGTGACGGTTAAAGATGGCTCCAGCTCAGCAAAAAGACGATGCATCCTAGCCCGATACGCCAAACATCCAGTTTCTCCCCCTTTCGCCCCAAAATACGCCCGCAATGCGTTGCTGTTCATCTGGGTTGTCCAACGCATGCGGCGTACTCCACCAGAGGCGGGTGCCGATTGCTGGGCCCGCGAAGACCCTGCCGACACCAAGCCAGCTGGTGGGGATGATGGATGCGAGGGGCTGCTGGGTGGTCGTGCAGCACCTCGCGCTCGGCTGGCGGTTCGCATGCTGCCGCGTCCAGCGCCAGCTCCAGACGCGCCCTGGCGACCTCCAGGCAGCGGCCCCTTTGCGCGTTCTTCCGTATTCCATCATCCTTATTATTATTATTATTATGGGGTATCTATATAGTTTTCTCATCTGGTTGGGTTCTATAAATATATAATTATAAATGAAAATGACAAAATAAATATACGGAATAAATATCAATAACATAAAATAAATATATTATTATTATTATTATTATTATTTAAATGGAACTAAAACTAAATGTATGGAATTCGTAACTCCTAATGTTAAACATGTCAATACTAATGTAATTATAAATGGGGAGGAACTGAGTCTTCTTGATACCACCATTTTTCTTGGAATCACACTGGATGCAAAGCTTCAATGGCTCCCCCATATATCAAAACTAGCTAGCAGACTTAGTTCTGCAGCATATGCTGTAAAAAAAGATAAGAACTCTTACTAGTGTTGAAACAGCTAGAATAATTTACTTTAGTTATTTCCATAGCATTATGTCGTATAGCATTTTGCTATGGGGACACGCGACTGACACTAAAATTATATTTATTTTACAGAAGAGGGTCATTAGAGCAATATATAATTTAAAACCAAAAGAGTCATTGAGACAAAAATTTAAGGAAATTTATGAAAATGTAATGTACGTACACAAAAATAAAAGTAGTTTTGCGAAAATAAGTGATATTCATTCTGTAAATACTAGGAACAGACACAAGCTAGTAGTATCTGTTACTCGACTCCAGCAATTCATTCTTGGGGCGATGTATACGCATTTACAACAAAATCCCAGAAAATATACAAATTTTGTCATACACAAAATTCAAAAATGTTATTAAACTAAGTTTGTATAAAAAGTGTTATTTATTAGTTATTAGGGTATTATAATATTAAGAAATTTATGGATGATAATAACCCCTGGGAAGGGCGATCGCTACCAAGCTATTTCTAATTTGTCTTGTGTTGTTAATTGTAAACATGATTGTAAGCTATAATATTGGAAAGAAAAATAGTCCCGCTGGGTTTCTTGTTGGTTCTTCCCAGGACAGAGGTTTTTTTTGCGAACCAGTGGTAAATGAAAAAAGTGACTCTCAATAAGTATTGTTATAATCTACATTGAATAAAAAAGTTTCTGTTTCTGTTTCGGCCTTAGAGTACATTTTAATACCTCGGGAAGTGCATAAGTTGTGTAATAACTTTAGTTTCTTATTATTATAAATATACCTACAGTGTATATACGGTACGAACTATGAAGGTTGTTGTCATATTAAAACACAAACAAGAAAAGTTTTAATATTTTATTTACTAAAGAAAAGGAATACATTTTATCCTTTGCTAAAATATTTAGCATATATTAATAATATTTAATGAGAAAATGATCATAACATTTGAAACAATGATTCATGAAATATGAAACAGTTACCGAGTAAAATAAAAGGCTATTTTTCATATTTCACGGACCATTGTTGAACAATCTATTTGTCTCTAGTTATAAAAAAATTGCACTCTATAAATAAGGGCAGCGAATACGGTGTAACATGTCTATCACTGCATTGCATTTTATCATTATTATTAATTAAAAAATCCCTACTTAACTCTATGGAGGTATAGAGTGTCTAAAAAGCAAACAAACACTGTCATATGTAACGTAAAAGATTAGTAGTTATTAAAGTTAACTCTATATCGATGAGAAGTTAATATTGTTTTTATTTGATATTTATAGATTCCTTGAACTGCCATAAAATCATACAAGGAACGAACTGGTACAACCACTTATAATGACTCAAGTTTAAATACCTTGTTCTGCCGAAAGTTGGATTTGCGCAACGATCCTTATGATATTTAGTTAATTATAGTTTGAGTTTTCAGTCATAGCGAGTATTAAACGAACGAAGCGTTCGAGTCATTATATGATATGAAAAATTTAATTTGAAAACAAATACGACTAGCACTAGTTACTGTTTATTGCAAACAAATGAAAAACTTTTATACATATAGTAAAATAACACCAGAACTTTAAGATCAATATCCATCGGTTATTAAAATTTCTAGTATTTCGTAACAAACCACATACCTACCTTTCGTAGTAGGTTCTTTTACCAGTACCTTTTCTACAAGAATATATGCTTTGTTATATTGTAATTATTTCATTACAAATATAATTTCCCGTAACCAAGAGTTTGCACTGACGCGAATTTCACACATAAAAAAAAAACATGTTTTAAATAATGTTTTCTGTCAATGTAACAAAAAGCGTTTGCATAGTCAAAAAACATGTTGTAGTGAAATATGTTTGACAGTTTATTGTACACATAGAGATATAAAGTCAGTGATTGTACATTACATATTTTAACTATACTATATCTTTATAACTACCGAAACAAAATGTTTGAAAACAAATTTGAAGAAATATTGTCATGTTGAAAGATAAGTTTGAATACCTGTTAAAAATTTTACACAGTTTTTGTGGGTGTGAACGCCACCATCAACAAAACATGTTGTGTGGTTTGTTTTATGCGATTTGTTTCAAAACATTACGTGTTGGATGTTTCTAAGTGCAAACGTACTGTAATAATACGGTAAACATGTTAAAGTGGATATTTCAATTTCGTTCCTCGAGATTTTACAGGGCGGCATTTATGGTACATTAAAACTCATAATTGGGATTATGGGAAAAAGCATATAAATGTGTCTTTATACTACATACGCAAGTTACTTTATTTAGGCACTTCCCATACTTACGGTTTCCATCGTCTATCTTGATTTCTTTGTGTACTTACTTTTACATAGCCCATAATTCAAATTCCTTTTTCTTCGAAAGCACAAAACAAACAGTGTAATTGTAAAATACATTATAAAATGAATAAAATAAAAATTAATCTTGGATTTGTCTTTGTACCATTCCATTAATTCGTTGTTTTTTTTTTTAAATTAATCGTCGATTGTAATAGGTTTGGACTTTGTGTGATAAATTTCAATAAAAAAGAATTTACGAATTTAGAACAAGTGACCGCTTAATTCGTTCGAAAGAATTAGAATGTTGGGCTTGCAAAAGAACATTGTTTCATGTTTTGAAGTTCTTATAATTTTGTAACCTAACAAGAAAGACGAAAGAGCTTAATAGAAATAGAAAAATATTGCACATACTGCTTTTAACTTATTCTTCATTCGAATGATGGTGGACGATGCCTACCATTAAATACTATTTTTTTAAAGAATTTGTAATGAATATTAAAGTAAGACTTTCTGAATTTTAAGTTATCGAAGAGAGTAAAGCAATATGCAAGTAAATTATTGACTTCGCGAAATTTGCCGGTGGCAATTATTTCACCGTTGCAACTACTCTAGATACTCGTTCAAACTCAACTTTAATTATATTTACACGTAATTATGTTTACTATAACATACTTAAGTGATGGTTAGTTTGAGAATAACGTGACGTAAACGCGCTATATCTTAACGGTATAGTTTAATAAAACGTTGCGGATCTGCATTAAAATGTATCCTTTGTAAGTACTTACACTTAATTTTTTAATATTTGCAATAAAAGTCTTCAATTTCTAACACTAAGGCTTTGAATCTCAAAACAAAGTAAGCGGTCTATATAATATAAACTACAGTACGTACGATAAGTTCTAATATAATTCTCAATATTTCATAAATTAATAATTTACGCTTAGTACAAGAGAGTTTCTAGGCATGGTAAAGATTACAATTATTTTTACGAGTATAAAAAGGTGGTTCAGTAATTTTTAAACGTAGAAATGGTTATTGTACATTTCTTCAGTATTACCTTTTACTTAATTTAAAAAAAAAACAATTCTTAACAATTCACCTTCAAAAACTTTTGCGCTTAGTCACTAATGCTTACCACTATTTACTCGACGAAAAGTATAAATTACATTACAGAACTCGCTATTTACATGTACATTTTAGCATTCTTACGTATGTTTTGATTGTTATGTGCCTTTGCACTTACATACTTTGAAAGCAGTAATCCAACTTGAATTAAAATTTGATATAGGTATATATTTTCTGCTGGTACCTTATTTCTTTCATCATTAACATTGTGAATAAATATGAAATACTACTTTCAATGTTCGTAATTATCACTGCTTCGCTGTGGCTTTATATAAAAGCTTCTACTTATCAAATAATTTTATATAAAATACAAAAAAAAATATATGTGCGTTTACTTTTTAAATTATACGAATTGGCAGTTTAATTCACAATCAAAAATTTATATTCCTCATAACTAATTAATGCAATTATGGATTACAACTATAAATAAATAATTCACCTTAATTGTCATGGCGTCTTTGGTATGTATTAAAAATAAAACTATTTACGAGTATTGTTATAAAGACAATCTTATAAGAATGTCTATACGCAATGGCGCAAAAATCTTAATGTTTTTCGGTCGTCACTTGTCTATTGTAATCGCTACTCTAATGGCATTCTAAAGTTCGCGTTAACATCAGTCCGAAAGAAAACTTGACTCATTGTAATATACTATACAATCTTGCCACACACACCTTAGGCACTAGGTCATTAATACAAATAGAATTGACATTTTCTTTACACACATTCAATTGTCAACAATGAGCGTGATGGCTTTCAACACTATCTTTTATCAATAAATCGTTTCATATATAGCAGACTAGTTATTGGAAAGCGCTATCTTTATAACAAACTTATATTCCCTTCCCGACTATAATAGAAACAGGAACGATTTTAGAAGAATAAGTTTCAACGTTTGGCCCACTTTTATGGATTGTTCAAAATTGAGAAACGACCGTCTATGAAAACGGAGATGTGTCGCGTTTTTCCAGAATGTATGTACATAGTAACTGATCAAATGGATCACAGTAACTTTACAATGGCGCACCAACAATCTGAATTGGCAATCTGACACCACAGTGCCTCCTTACGCTCTATCTCTATGTATACATAATTGCTAACTCTATAACATTATTGAATAATTATCAAAACGACCTCCTAATAATCTAGATACACTCATAAGAAGCACTTTAATGAATGAATAAGTATCAGAACTTTACATATAATTTATACATGGTAAATATAATTCATATCATTTGTGTTTAATAATGGGTGCGTTTGACAGAAAAAAACGCTAGCAAGCGCTTGTAAGCCAAATGGCGAAACTAAACAGTTTTCGGCCAGGATACGTTTGCTAACTTTTGTAGCGCTGACACAATCCGCCATTTTGCTTATTTATTTTGTTTGTTTTGAAGTAGAGTTTATAAGTTGTTTTGTGCAATATTAGTTTCAAGTAATATAATGACGTGAATAGACATATACATGTTATTAAAAATTCATAATTGGTAAGTTTTTAATATGAATACTTTACAAACGTATATTTAAATTAGGTTAAGTTCCCCGGTTAAAACTAACTTCGTGTCCTAGAGGGAAAATAGCTATTTACGATTTGACAGCGCTTACCACTTACGATCACCATTTTGCTTACAAGCGCTTGCTAGCGCTTTTTTCTGCCAAACGCACCCAATGTCACTGGTTTCAACCCTAACGTTACACACCATTGATTTTATGTAACATAACAACTTTAATGATAGCAGTCTATAAAGCGTTTAGAAAGCACTTAGATATAGTTTAAGCTTTGAGATTATGTTGAATACTTTAAAGAATCTAAACATTGTTTGAAAGAAAATGTGTTTTGTGTTATAAAAGGCAACATTATTTTGACAATAAAACTGAAAAATGGCCTAAAGGTATCTAGACCTTTAGGCTATATTTCAGTTTTATTGGCCAGGCCATAAACTCCAAAAAAAAACTGAAATATAGTAATTAATGTAAATTTTACGAATGGCACTATCGTTAATGTTGCCGTGTTACATCCTTTCACCATTCGCATGAAAGAGAAACTCGCTTTTATTAAATGACGTATCGCTACAAGTAATAGTGAAAAGCAATTTGTGAAATCATTGCAGATCGTTATAAGTTATTCATCGCCGAAAAAAGTATCAAAAGTCGAATGAAGCTCAGAATTTGCAATGATAATCACAATTTCACATTAACTATTCATCAACACTTTACCAACAAAACTTATATTTTTACCTAAAATATTAGTAAACTATGTATATTCTAAACAATCTACAAATTTGTTACATTATTCATCATACATACGTCAATCGATAATATTGTTCCGTCTTTTAAAAAAAATACGTAATTTTTGTCAACACCTTTTGATCATTGTGATCTATTTAGTTCGGTGATAATACGTACGTATATAATATATACTTTTATAATCATGGAAGAAAGTTTTAGACACTATTTTTAACAATGGCATCGTGTCCACGTAATCCACATCGTAACACGTATATTATCACGTTACATTTATTACATAATTCTCGGCCGACTTTATTACTGGTATAATATCTAATGATTTTAGGCAGCCTTGTTGTACGTTTGCGTATTGTAGAACGTTCGAAAACTATCCACATTGCAAGTAATTACAGTGCATAAAATATAGCTTGCTTACAGTAACGTAATTATAGTTTCATTCTGATATAGCTTCATACTTGAGACTTTGGATTAACGTAATCCTTAGTACAAGTAAATGGTACGTGAATTTTACCTATAAAAATCGTAAAATTTTTAGTACTGGAAAATATAACTACATATTTTCAAGACGTTTGTTTATTTATAAAGTTGTTTTGACGCTTTCGTTGTTAAAGTTAAAATATTAGGCGTTATTTTATGCACTATAGACCAGTTATAAAGAAAAAAAAGTAAATAGTTTTTTCTTAAAATCCTCTATAATCAACAACATTTGGAATGTCTTTCGAGTCGTGGTCGATCCGGCCGAAAATAGCAGTCTCTTTATTTTTCAAATTTAGAACGTTGGCGTGTCGTGTCGGGTAGGTCGGTGAGCGGGGCGGGGCGGCGCGCTAGTTGCGGTAGATGTAGGCGCAGGGCTGCGGCGCGGGCGGTGGCGGCGTGGGCGGCCGCTCGCCGGACGGCGACGGCGACGACGACGGCGGCGACGGCGACGACGACGAGCCGCCGCCGCTCGCCGACCCGGACCCCGAGCCGCTGCTGCGCTGCGACACTGCAACCGAACATTCTTGTCACACATTTATTTACATAAAGACCGATTTACACTTCGACAAGTACAGTAGCGAGTTTAGTTACAGGGCAGTTGACAGTAAACGATTAAGTGGGCAATAGCGTTCAAAAATTTCTTCGTGGCGAGTTTAGTTAAGCACATTAGTTCATAGACGGCGGTATATAGTAATAGCGGTGTGACGTTTCAAGACTACAGAATTTTTCTGGTTATCGTTAAAGATGGTTCTAGGATTACGGCAAGAATCAAATGATCCAGTCAGAGAAGTATTAATGGTTCTTGTTAAAGAATTTTTTAAGAATTTTCACGAGTGCAGCATCTCTAACAGGTTTAATTTTACAATTTGAACTTCTACTATTATATAAACATTCGTGTTCTAAATACTCCTGTACAAATGTATACGTGATATCTTCCGTCCATTTTATTATTAAAACCCAATATAAAACGTATAAATATTCAATAAACAGTATCGTACAAACTTTGTGGCGAGTTTAATTATAAAATTACAATTGTGCGTTTTGGCGCGCAAACGTTGCGTCCTGTCAACTTATGCACTGAACTAAACTTGCTTGTTTATACGAACGGCGAGTTTAGTTGCGAATGCCGGGAGACTAGCCGGAGGGCAGCACTTCGCACTTAACTCGCCGAAAAATAGCTCGGTCGGCTATCCCGATCAACTTAATCGATCACTTGCTACTTAACTCGCTTATTGCCGTTCAAACGAGGTTCAAACTTAACTCGCCAGGTTCGCAAGTTAACTCGCTACTGTACTTGTCGAAGTGTAAATCGGTCTTAAAGGCTCGCCTACACGCTCAAACTTACTTGCACAAATTTTAATTTGCACAAGCAGGTTAAGCTGGCAAAACGTTAAAAACTTTGTTCAAACACAAATTGAACAAGCAAGCGTAAATAAGACAGCGTGTGGACGCCGCACATGTTCTTTGCGAATACTTTTCATAAATTGTGCATGCAGGTCGCTGCGAGTAGCCGGAGCTAGGGCTAATACACACGAACATCTATCTATTCTCGAATAGCAAATGTTTGTCTATGTCGCTGTCTCTACGACTACGACTTCGACGATACACGGACGGAAGCAATAGCAACACAACCAATTAATTTCGCCGCATTCATCAACATGGATTTTGAAGAAACGATTGTGGTCTGTGATCTTGTTATAAGAAACCGAAGAAGACGGCAAAAAAGGCAATATTGAGTGTATCTATTATGGAGTGAAACTTTAGGAAAATTTTGCATAATTTTCGGAAAATTGAGAGCATTTCCTAAAAAAAATCTCTCGATATATTAGAATAGGCGTTTTCGTCGAATTTGAACAAAACGATGAGATCGAATTTGTACAAGTACGAGTACGAGTACAAGTACGAGAATGTAATTTATTATTGCTGAAATAACCGACAACCGTATTTTCTTTCTCTAATAGGATAGCAAACTCTAAACTTGATTCCAGCAGTTATAAACAGCTCAGGGTTTTTTTTTTCATAAATTTAGCCGCTTCAAGTATATATATGCAAAGAAGTGTTAGCACTTTGAATTTTCTAAATATTGGTTTGCACGATTCATGAGACCAAATTATATATTGCACGTAGACATTTTTTGCACAATTACAGCTTTATTGATGTCAACATAATTTTCCTATATTATTATACCGTAGCTATGTATACAATAAACGTATCCGTAATACGCCACCCTTATATTTAGTTTGAGTTGTTTTCAGCAAAGTGCTGCTAATCCTCACCTGTTTCAGTTCTCCTCTCAAATTTCCTCAAAAATAATATGAAGCTAGGTTTTTTGTGATATTCTTTTTTAATTATATACTTGAAACGTAAAAACGTCTTATTTAAATGTACTACACGATTTGGTAATTTATTCGGTTTTATTTCATACATTCCGATTTAATTTTCAATTATGTCTTAATCGTAAATTGGATTGTATCTGTAAAGATCACCGCCCGCGCTGGCTACCTACACAACATTCCAATAAAAACACAATAGGCACACATAACCTGTGATGTAACTTTTCCTTTATACTTTCATACTGGCTTAGGACAGGCAAAAATTTAGGAATTAAGGAAAATATTGAGATTTTACAACAAAAAAATGGTTATTTTTCGTTGAATTTGCGTTCTATAAGTGAAACTAAACCACTGGTTTCAAGGATAACGGTGTTTACACTAACAACCTGTATATATATATATATATATATATATATATATATATATATATATATATATATATATATATATATATATAACGATATATCAATTATGTCTAATTTATATCATATTACATACCCAAAGTGTGGTGGTGGTGCGTATTATGCTTATGGTGATGCATTTGGTCGCGCGCGTCCGCCCCGCTTGTTTCTCAGAGGTACACCTTCTTCACTGAGCGCGTGGTCGAGAAGCCGTTGTCGTTGCCGCGCCGGTAGCCATCGCCCTGCGGTCCGAATACTCCTGCGTTAACTGACATGCCGCAGTCAATATGAGTGCGATGATACATGAAAATCAAAATGGCGTGTTAATGGCGCGAAAAGTATTGCGGGTTTTTTTTTGAGACCTAAATTGACAACGGTAAATGCATAATTTATAAAACTCGCAACACTTTCCGTAATGACTGAGGCGATAATGATGCGATTAATGAGTTAAACTAAAACGTGCATGATGTATTAAAAATGATTTGTTAATTTTAGTATATGACTTTTATTAAAAAATTGTTATGGAAAATTAGAATGAAAAATGACATTAAAATGTTTACAACGGCGTTAAGGTTTTTCGTTAAAAAACTAATTTGGCATGGGTAAATTCCCTTTAATAATAAAAAGTAACATTATAAAATTATCTACATTCAATACATTCTTGGAAAAGCATGCAACATGGACATGGATGAAATGACATAAGAGATCATGATATATGTTTCTCAATTATTACCATATTTCATATTTATTAACGAAATTCTTGTCTCGATTACTGGTTGTCCTGTAATGCTAAGGGTAATGTCATGCGGAAGGACACAGACTATATTATTATGTTTCAAGGATATAAGACGGATAAAATTGCATCGACAACATTACATAATACAAAGAAATTTAACGACTAGGTACGACATGAAATATCACATTAGTATAGTACAACAGTATAGCACCTACTTTAAATAAAATACATTAAAAAAATATTTTAACATTTAATAAAGTCAGGTAATCTATGAATATGAAGCAAGCCAAGGTAAAAATTACGGTTTTGTTTTAAGTAATATAATAAAGAATATTCAAGAGCTTTGAAAAACAAAAGCTATACTTAATTCAAAATATGTTTCATAAAAGCTTTTCTTTTATTTTCTAAAATTTAATATTAATCGATTCAATACAAGAAATGGTCTTGCTGAGAAGACTAAGAACTAATATTTTACCACTCTAAAAGCCATGCAAAAGAAGAGAAACAGAGCGCAACTGACATTGACCTGGTGGGAGCGAAGTGTTCCAAAGTTGTCGCGACGGTACGAGTCCGGTTGGAACTGGAACAGGGTCTCGTGGTGTGGGTGGTACGGCGGGTGCTTGCGCAGAGTGGCTCGTGGTGACGCGGGTTTAGGCTGTGGAGCTAGAACTGGTTCGGCGTAGGTAACTTCTTCTACTTGTTGGAGCAGTTTTGGTTCCGCTTGGATCCTAGAAGGAAAAAATTGTGATCGTTACTCAGAATGACGATTAAGGCAGATTCTCCCCATAAGCCCATAACAGAAGATATTTTATTGTATTGGCTTAACCATAAAGATCGAAAAAATTGTCGAACGGGTCTTACGGTAAAGAAATACGACAGGGGCTAGTGACTTTGGAGTGCGATTAAGTAACCCTACTGGAATCGTGGTTGGCTTTGTTATGAAGTTTGACGTTTGGTTTCGTTATATAGTGATTTCATGTATTGGTATCGATATCTTTTAAATTAATATCTAATTTACGATATTTTAAAAAATATAATTCTCCCATAAAAAAATCCCATCAGCGTAACACTGCAAGTGAGCAACATAAAAGATACAAGTGAAAATTATAATTCGTGAAATTAGCTTTGAGTGTCTGTTACTTTAAGCGCAGATGTATCGAACGGGGAAAGATGTTTAGCTACTTATAAAATGTATCAAATTTAGATTGCTTTTATGGTAATGAACAAGAGTTGGCAGCTGTGGTAAATTAAAATATTTCTATCGTTAGACATCGAGATACACGTATAAAACTACGCGTAACTTGGCTGAGCGCGGGACGTCTTCTGCTGGAGTCTCGTTGTAGTGTCACACGTCCTCTGAAATGGCTGAACAGACTGTGTATATCGTGACTACAGTACACTATTATTTTTTTCTCTGCCCAGAGACCGAAAAGGGTAAAACACGTTATTAACCTTTAAGTTGCCTCCTATCTATCTCTCTTCTTCTATACCGGGTGTTTGTAAAACGCTCACTGAAACGAAGACAGACAGTAAAAACGATAGTTTTGATGATGGGTCATAAAGAAAATCAATCCTGATGAAAAAAAAACATCTTATCACAACGTTGAATTACCTAGCTTTATTCACGCTCCATCATGTAAGTATGGCTAAATGAAACGATAATTTCATAAAAAAATCATGAAAATACTTAAACATAAAACAAGCAGTGGAACTCTGACAATAGGGTCCATATTCGCGCGGACGCCGATTTCACGCGGCCCGCAGCTACCGATTGTATCAACTCCTAATAATTTACAACACTTGTCTAAATACCTAACTTATCTACTAAACCTACTGTTTTACCACGGTGATAGTCTCCACCTAGCCACTTTAATTCGAATTTACAGGTGAAATAAACCAAATACCTGGTTCGATTCCCCGCTAGTGAAAAATTTATTTAAATGAAATTTTAAGAAGAATAAAATTACGCTTCTTTATCCATCGTGAAGGTATGTTTAATAATTTTGATGTATTTAGCTACGTGCCTATTCAGATCAGTTCAGTACTAAGTTATTTAAAAAAAAGGTAGGCGGGAAAAAACTCAATACCCGAGAGACAGTATAAAATGGGTTTGAAGAATTTATTGCCTCCCGTCAAGCTGATTTCTCTGAACGGAAAAAGAGCTGAAGGCCATTAATGAACTGCCACTGTGTTGGCAAAGATGCATTCATTGCATGGTTGATTACTTCGATCAATAGAAAAAAATATTAAAAAAATACGTTAACTTATTTCATAATTTACTTATTTCGTAAAAAGTCAATTTCATAGGTAAAGACCTTTTTTTATATAATATAAGCAAAATACTACTGATTCAATAACCACGAGATCTTCAAAATTATACGCCTGCTTGACTTGAAATTTGGCAAATATGCTTCTTTCTCGACGGAGACACCCACTAAGAAAGGATTTTATAAAATTTAATCCCTAAAGGGATCAAATAGGTTGTTACAACTTGTATCGGAATCGATATTTTTTTCTAACTTTATTTTGGTCGACCAGCTAGGGGGTAAATCTGGTGACTGGAATTCTAAATCCGGTTGCAGGTGCTTAAAAATTCTCATTTTTAGAAAAAAATCAACAATAAGACTCAATAAGTCAATAGATTGCTATTACCTTACGTTTTATATACGAGTAAATATACTAATATAATATTTATTTGAACTTATATTTTAGACTACTAGTAACAACTTTCAAAAAGTTGGTTTCTCCAGAAATTTTATTGTAAAATTATTCACAAATAATATGTTTAAAGTCGTATTCACTTGTTCACTTCTTTGCACAGACCCGTAGACCTTTCGGCGTAGAGAAAGTCAGATGGTAACCCGGAGCCCAACCCACACAGACAAATTATCATAGTGTGCAAATTTCTCAGCTTTTGTACAAAGATGAAGCACCCTGATCGTGACTATATAAGCCACAACATGAAGCAGGTCGCAACAGATAATAATTTAAGTAGAACTTGAGTTTGAATCATTAACAGTTATTTTTAAAGGCCAATTAGTATTTCGTGGCTGGATTTATTAACTTTACAATTTTGACATGTAAAGAAATACGTCACATAAACATCGTATACATGGATATTACATGATAAAGTCAAGTCAGTTGTTTGTTTGTCTAGATTTTAAATTGTTGCACCTTATCACAGCTTAAGAAGAACATACAGTCAGTCTTCGCGTTTTATGTTGTCAAAAAGCCATCAAACAATGAAACTGCTAGGGTTGTCACAACGGGAAGTAATAAAAAATTAAAACTGAATTTTTTATTTCACAATGAAATAACTTAATCAGACAATTAATGTTCAGAAATAATAAAATGGGTTATAATAATCAGAGTTTGAAAAAATAATAAGAAAAATATTCAATTATCGAATACAATATAAGCTGTATATTTTAGTAATAACAACCTACTTAACACTACTTTTTTTGTTTGAAATCACGTTCAAATGTAATTGAAAGCTCTCAAGTTGCATACACACAAGTTGAATAGATAAAGATGGCATACACAAAAGTTCGTCATAAAGATTATCGTTGAAGTTAATATTGCCGATTTCTCCATCTTAGTGTGTAATTTTTGCAGACTGCAAAAAGGACAATGTGTGACCAAGCTGAAATTAATAATATTACTTGGCGTACTCGAGTCATTAGAACGAACCTGTTGATGTTCTGCCGTTGTTCGAAGTACTCGTACTCGGTGTCGGGATAGGGCATGTTGTCGTCCTCGTCCTTCTTGCAGCGCCTGCCGCAGATGTAGCCGGCGGCGAACCCGGCGGCGAGCGCGGCCAGCGCGCCCGCCGCCACGGCCAGCGCGAGCGTCTCCACCGAGTAGGCCGTCGGAGGTGGATCCGCCGCCAATACTTCTGGACCTGCTTGATTAAACATTTTATTGTTATTATTACCGCGTGGTGGCTGAAGATCGCATGGGCGTTCCTTGCGGAGGCCTTATCTTTAGCAGTGGACTTGTAAAGAGCTGTAATGATGATGATGATGGTTGCCGAGTAACTATCTCACCGACGGCACAGGAGGATCCACTAACCCCATATCATCTAGTGAGTGTTGTGAGAGACGACCGAGGGAAATAAACAAGAGGTAACATAGCAGTAGCATTTTTATGAAAACAACACAAAATAATGACTCTGGTTGCCAACCCACATGCCATTCGTGCGTGGCAACTATGGCATTCCGCCTATGAGGCAATCTATAGGGGAGGCCTATGTGCAGCAGTTGCCTTTTAATAGGCTGCAATAAAAGAAGGGAATAGTCTCAACTCTCAATAATCGGCTACTGTAGCCTATGGCTATACACGCGATCGATTTTAACGCAAAGAGGTTGAAAAGCTTTAGAGAAGCAATTTATTGCAAAAGCGAAAGCACAGTCAACCATTGTAGAAGTTTTTAAAATATTTGTCACACAGTTCACTTTAGTTCTTATAATTGCTCTGTTTAATTATCAAAGTCAGCACAAGAGTCAATAAAGAAGGTCAAGTCAATAAGCAGGGGAGAGAAGTGCATCATCTCTAACGAACAAAACACCTCATACATAATTTTGAACCAATTCGTCGTTCCCGTTTTAGTCGTACATGCAAGATGGATCGTGTGTATGATGACCGCTTATGCGCTGCGCTTCTCATGGTATGGTGTACCTACGGGAGTGACACTGAAAGTTTTTAGAACTGGTCACTTGTAAACGATATAATAAAAAAAAAATTCAAATTTTGAAAATGGAACTTTTTGTCAATATTATTGCGTGTGTATTTTATTAATTTGTCATTTGTTTACGTTTAGGAAGCAAATTGAAAATTGTGTGTGTCACGTCAGCATGAACTTAACGCGAAAAAAATTTCGTAAAATGATTTTTATGACTTTCGATGTCATTTAAATCAACAAGAAAGTTATGATAGACTTCGAATGGCCTTTCACGATGAAGCACCATCTCGTGCCACTGTTTACAACTGGTTTAATGAGTTTAAACGTGGTCGCGCTAATCTCACCGATGATCTGCGTGAAAGACGGTCTTCTACGGCGAAGACTTTATTTTGTTGCTCAAATACAATGCCGGCTAAGGAGCACACTCTTTTAAATATTTTGGAATATTTTTTACATATTCCCTAAATTCGACGCTAGGATTATATGACCTTTCATTGTAAAGTTCATATAACTTTTGCCTACTCTTATGGACTCCTACAGTCGCCCATTCATTAAATGCCTTGCGATTGTTCAAGGAGAATGTTTTGGAAGTTAAAGTATTATTAAATTCATTGCAAATGAGTCTGATGATAACATCAGTGTTTGTGTGGCGTATGATAGAGACTGTCAAAAGAGTGACTTATCAACAGATTTAGACAAGCTTTGGCATTGGTATGAGTCAAGAGCACAAAATACTCCATGAACATTTAGCGGTCAGGAAGCTTTGTGCCCGGTGGATATATCATAATTTGACAGGGGCCCAAAAACTTGGCCCTGTTGATTAGTGTCTTGAAATGGTTCAAAGATTTAACTGAGGTGACTCAAATGCTGTGTTCGTCATACTTAAGGGTGACGAAAGCTGGATTTATTGTTATGATCCTGAAACTAAGAGACAGTCTACTGTCTGGGTGTTTCCTTCCGAGGAGTTGCCAACTAAAGTGAAGAGAGGTCGAAGAGTGGGAAGAAAGATGGGGGCCTCGTTCTTCTGAAGGACAGGTCATTACGCAACAATTGTTTTAGTGGATCGAAAAACAGTTACTGCAAAGTGGTACACTAACAATTGTTTGCCACTTGTCTTGGAAAAAGTTCGGGAGAAACGACCTCGCAGTAGGATCCTCCTTTACCATGACAAGACCTCGTCGCACACCGCCAAGCAAACAATCGACTACTTGACGACGTCAGACGTGGAATTACTGGGTCATTCGCCCTGTAGCCCCGACCTCGTACCTTGCGATATTTATTTATTTATAAAAATAAAAGAAAAACTTCGAGGAAAACGTTTTATGGACGCCGAGGAAGCAGTGACTGTGTATCAAAATGCCGTCGAAGTGACCCCTAAGGACGAGTGGGCAAAGTGCGTTTCTAAGTGGTCCATCTGATGCAGCGATGTATTGATGTAAATGGACATTATTTTGAAAAAATATAATAAAACTAATAACTTGCGAGTTTGTTCAGTTTTTGATTTTCTAAGAACCTTCAGTGTCACCCTCGTACCACCATACAGTGTATAATATCTATATTTTTATCTACTATCTTTACCTATTAGCGCTGTACAGAACAGGAAATGCATACTATTCATATTTATTAGTAGAAGTCTGATAATACGTATTTTATATTTTAAAGTAACGTATTTTTTTAGTAAAAACTAAAAAAAAGTGATCGCTGTCGTGTGGCTGTTTAATATTTTATAGAGATTTTAAATTTCCTCTTACGTAGTAATTGGTGTTACAGCATCTTCCCAAAATAAAGAGAAGTTCAAGGGTTCAAATATCGTTCTACAAAAAGATCTACAAAGTTTTTTTTTATATATGTATATATAAGTTTTCAAGAATAGACTTAAATGCCCATCAAAATTTATTTACGACATTAATATTACTCCTTCTTAAAAGGCCGACAACGCAGATGGTGTTGCAGTTGTTAATAGGCGTCGGTCGACCGTTGAGCCGCATACTTTTCAATAAAAAAATACTTACATTTTAAAAATCATCTTACCTTCGTTATTGTTATTGCTTCCCTTGCCGTCCTTGTCTTGAACGATGTTGATAACTTCGCCCTTATTTTCTCCGCGTGCATCATCGTAAAGTCCAGAACTAAGGCCCCCAACCGCTCCGGCATCCTTGCCTTGAGGAAATAATATAAAAACATTTATTCATCATAACTTTTATCACCGGTCGTTAAATGGCTGAACAAGACAGTATATTAAAGTAATTATTCAAGTAATGTTGTGCATGAAAAGGAAAATCAAGGCATTGAACCGTTACAATGTGTAGTGCTGGAAATCTGCCACTCACGGTTGGTAGATTGACAACTATAGTAAGTTAGTTTCAGAGAGCGGTTTTTTTATTGTGTCTGTCAACAATTGCTGTAAATCAATTACTTTTTGGAATCCTTTATAGTTTGCTCCTGATTGTTTTCTACCACGGCAAAATTCATCAATATTTCTTTAATACTGTTGTTACTAAATGCAAAGTAGATTTTAGTGTCGTAAATGTCCGTGTGTCCGATAATTACTGTTTCGCTCTTAAGATTTTAAGAATTACTGTTACAGAAATTTCTGGAGAAAGTTTTAAATCAAGTAAAGCGTATATTACATTATTTAATTTTTAGAAAATCTAATTAGGAAGTTGGAAGATGTAATCGTAGTTAGAACAGATAGGAAAGGATTTAGTTAAAATTGGAGGTCCCGACCGCTCTACTTCCTAAATTGTCTACTATTTAGGACAGTGTAATCGCAACGCTACGATTTAGAAGAACCAGTTGGCGCCCGCGCTTTGATCTAAGTGGACGTTCTAAGTGGATCTAAGCGGGCGGATGCGACATTTGCTTGCGATGGCGAGTGAAGCGACAGAATTGAGCAGTGGTTCGTGTGGCAGCACGTCCACAAAAAAAGAGGTGTTATTAAAAATTATAAACCTGTATAGGGAAAAAGGCACTATTTGTATAATAAAATTAATAAAAACTATTTAAACAAAGCAATGCGTGAACAAGGCATCAAGGTGTTGTTAAATATTTACAAAAACTATGACAGAAACGGAACTATTAAAACATTTAATTCTTAAAAAAATTCTAAAGTCGCCAGGTTCCAAAATATGAACTATATTAATATTGGACAGTTTTTTCTCAATGAAAAGTATTCTTTAACCCAGCATTTTCTCTCTTATCTTTTTTAATATCGATTGTTCCCACCACGGCTAAGGCAAGTCCTATTTTCTGCTGTTTTGATGAATACGGTGCCATCGGTCAAACGTGCAACCCCGTCGATACTTCTTTTACGAATGCGCTTCGTCACGATTTAGAATTCAATTAAGTGTAATGTGATCACTAGCTTCCAACTTAGGTTCCTAATTAGATTTTCTAAAAATTGAATAATGTAATAAACGCTTAACGGTGAGTGTAAATTATCAACAATAGGTTCCGCCACAATGAGCATATGCCTATGAATAGTACATTTATCCTCGATTAGGACTTCAAAACGTAGATGTGTTTGACACTCCTCAGGACTAAGATGGAGTGGTCCACTACCAGTAAAATAGGTGTCCATTATACAAGAAAATCTCAAGGCTTCGAGTATACAGCGGTATAACCATTTCATTTACGCCATAAAGTATCAAGATCGGCCACAGAAACAGCATCAAAAGTGTGAGATTCGGAAGTGTGATCGTTGATCCTTCTGCAAAGCGTGGCATGCATGGCAAATCCTACAACCAGAAAGGTTTAGTCCAGCAGTGAATTTTGTCGACTAATGAACAAGAACTAAAAAAAGTCTTTTTAAATTCACTGTTGCGAAACAACTGTAAAGTAAAAACGTAACTCATGAGCAGATGAAGTTGTACTTACTATGAGGACAAGCGGCATGACTTCCAGTGCTGACGCTCTGGTAGAAAGAGTTTTCATCTAACCACCGACTGACTCCGTGCGAGTAGGCACGGCATCGTCCCGCCTGTTTGTCCCACGCGCAGTATGGATCTTGGAGTGCCACGCATTCACTGCAAGATAAATTACTTCTAGTTATTGTTATCTATAGCTATATAATCTAGTTATAGCACAAAACTGTTTCTTAAGTCTACTAAATAACTCATGTTACCGGTTAATTTAACGATATTTGTGTAATCCAAGACATGGTGGTAGCCATTCCTGCTTACATGAAAATACCCTAATTTACCGACCACAGTGTTATTTATTTGCAATACTTTAGGTTTAGGACTTCTTTTCTACCTACGGGACCTGCTATGTACTCGGCTCGAAGGACCAAAACTTTTGAAGATTCTCGATGTTGATTGTACCTCGGTTGTGGTTGGGTTGGTTGGTTGTTGTACACAAAAACGCAGTATTTTATTTTATCCTTGTTATTAGGAAAACGCTTTTGCTCATTTTCTGGTTTATTTTTTCAATTGCCACCACACGGTGTAAAACTAAATTAAATTATAATAAAAAAAATACGTGTGGCACTCGGTGACTGCCGCGGTAAAGCTATTGCATAGCATTTTTTATCAACTTATGCAATTATAATTATTTATTTATTTTATGTATGCAGTTTAGTCTTTGATATTAAATCAAGTTACACTTATTGAGCGTGGTGACCGATAAGAAAACAATTTTTTTTCTCTTATTGAATAAATGAGAAGTTAATATTGTTTAAAATATTTTTAATATCTTACAATACATGTAGGTTATTCAGGAATTTTTATCATTCAGTTAGCAGCTAGTGTACACGCATACGTCTAGTCGAACGCACACAAACACCGTGCCGAAGTCTGCCGAGTGCCGAAGTCTGACGATGCACGGCTTTCAACGCCACACCTCCGTGCCCGTCGGAGTGGGGAGCGTGAGGTTTTTTTTCGTTACGGAATTTCTGGATTTGGTCCCCGCGCTCAAGGCCCGCGATAAAAGCTATGCAATAGCTTAAAAGACAACGCGCATTGATGATGTAAGCTATGATGACCCTTGTGAGATTAGAATACCAGGTTATAGTTACGAAATTATTGTTATGTCATCGGTTCTTAATACGTCCTCAATTATTTAAACGGCACAGATTAGATAATAGTTACCACGGCTGTAGTCTAAAGGATACTAAGGGGTAAGTAAGGGTACGAAAGGTAACATAATTACAGGCTGCGAGGCAATTCCATCTTAGTACCCCGAGATATTAACGCATCTTTAACCTACTCTATTTGAAGTTGATTACAGGTGTCCAACAGCTACAGTAGACACTTTCCATCAGGTGGTCTTTAAGTTCGTTGGTCACGTTAATTTTATAAAATATAAAGTGTATTGCGCTCTGTGTCGTAAAGATTTCTCTATTGTCTATATATAGGCTGTAAACTTATTGTGTCACTTTGGAACATACGGCATATGATATTGGATTAACATTACGGATTATGTATTGTCTATAAATAGAAGCTTGGCTCGTCTGTCACTTTGGAGCAACATATGGCGTATGATACACACAAGCAAGAGCTGATCTTGTCCCTGGAGCACTTGCGCAGCCTGAGGCTGAGGAACTCGCGGTTGCGGACAGCGAGATTTATCTACTGTCTATAAGTAGACGCTTTGCTCGTCTGGCATTTTAGAATAACATATGGCATGTGATACTCACGAGCAAGAGCTGATCTTGTCGGTGGAGCACCTGTGCAGCCAGAGGCTGAGGAACTCGCGGTTGCAGACAGCGAGATTTATCTACTGTCTATAAGTAGACGCTTTGCTCGTCTGGCATTTTAGAATAACATATGGCATGTGATACTCACGAGCAAGAGCTGATCTTGTCGCTGGAGCAGCGGTGCAGTCGCAGGCTGAGCACCTCGCGGTCGGAGACGGCGATGAGGCGCGCAGCGTCGCGGCCGGCGCGCGCCACGCGCAGCGCGCGCACCGGCGAGCCGGCCGCGAACGCCTGCAGCTCCTCGATCACCCCCGGCCCCGCCCGCGTGTTCGAGTCGTACGACACCGCGTTTATTGCTTTAATTATTTTGCCGTTGTCTGAAAACCAATGAAATTGATGGTTAATTAATTGTAAATAGAAGATTACCGTTACAGCCTATTAAAGTTCTCTTCTGAACATAGGTCTCCCCCAAAGATTACCTCATAGGGGGATACTTGCTATAGTTGTCATGCTTGGCCAGCGGGTTGGTAACAGTGTTTTTATTTTTATTCGTTATTAAGAAGACGTTGCAGCCCATCTCCTGATTTGTATCCCTCTGTCGCCTCTTAACACACCCACGGGATGATATGGAGTAGTGGATATTCTTACACTGAAATACAGGAAGGAAGAAGGCGAGAAATTTTTATTCGAGGCTAGAATACGATACAGGAGTCTTAAAAATAATAAGTATTGAAATGGTAATTAAAACCAGCCTGCGTAAAAAATGCACAGAAAAACAAAAAAAAAAACGTTTATACCTTATGTCGCATTCAAAACTTAGAGGAATCCAACGTCATTCCATATGTTAAAACTCATCAAGCGTTTTGGCCATGAGCGCGCGAAAGGAATAGGCATTACACCTAATTTCAAACGAATTCATAAAAGGAGGAGGTTCTCAACCGATTACTCGAGGACGCCTGAACCAATTTGGAAAATTATTTTTTGTTTCAAAGGGTTTACTTTCCAGATGGTCCCATTTAAATTTTATCGAAATCGGTCGAGCGGTTTTGTACAATTTTTTTTATTTTACCACTTCTTTACGTGGTAGAACCACGCTGCAGTTTTATTTTGCTTATAGCATAAATGGGTCGGCTCGAACGGGGAAGGACTACGCTCTCTCAGAATACCAGCGTTTTAGCAATTCGTGTGAAGAGTCTAGTGAACCGAATATATACACTTGAAAAATTTCACTCTCCTTCTGGCGCAGGCGGGTTAAAACGAGTATCGACATTATCATAAGTATTGCATTGCAGCACATAAATGGCTAACGACCTCAGCATGATACTACGACATTGTTTTCGCATCGCTAGTATGGTTGTAAAATCAAAATGTACCTATAATATTTACAATAAAATATAAAAATAGAAAAATTGATAAACATTTTATTACCTGTGCCAATGAACAAGACATCGTAAGCCTTCCCTCCAGGCGTTTTTACTTGAGGATCTACAGCGATTTGCGTAAATCGATAGCTGAAAAATAATCATAATTTCATTTAATTTATTGTATTTAAATAACATTAAAAAGTTTTGTTTAGTAAACAACACTCACTGAAAACTCGTCCTGATGACGATGGGCTCGCCAAAGAACGTAGGAACAGATTCATCCATTAGGGCGTGGGTCTTGATAAAGTTGAGTGTCTGGTCGGGTAAAAGTCTTGAGTCGTTGTAACATGTTCCAGGACGAGGTTCAGGCACCTGAGAAGTAAGAAAAAAACTTTGTAAGGATACAACATTACTCGAAAAAAATGACGGCTCGTGGCGCAGTGGCTTAACATTGAGTTGTGGCGCTGAGAGTCGTGGGTTCGAATACCGTACATAAAAAGTATTTGTATGGCATACAAGTAACTGTTCCGGATCTGGATGTTTGTCCTTGTGCAATTTATTTGACGATTCAGGAAAGGTAAAAAAAATGTCAAATATTCCAAGTGTTAACTGCTGATGTAGGTATCAAAGCTGGACGTCGCCCTTTTTTCATTTTAGAGAGAGTGTTGGGACCGAATCCGCCACGCTGCCGCAGTGAGTGTTGCGGATTTTACATGAATCACGGACACGATGCCTTTCTTTACCACCGAATACAATTACAATATCATAATGTGCCGGCGGAGATCTAACTCTGTTTAATCGCATCCTGTGAAACGCGTGCTTATCAAAGTTTTACATGAGTAAGTACGTGGATTATTAAAAATTAAAGTATGTAACAAAAACTAATCCCAAAATATTTCTATAAATATATAGCTATGATAGGCTATTTTAGATATTATTCAGCTATCGATTATATTTTTTTGCCTCTATCTTCTTCTAGAATTAAAAACAAAAATTAATTTCTTGACGTTTTTTATTCTTCTAGAATTAAAAAAAAATTAAGTTCTTGTAGAGAAAACTTACCTTAGCGCTATTTACAGGTAACCAATTGGAATTGAGAGCACTTTGTTCTTTGAAAGTTCCCTCAAAGGTATCAGCTATGTCCTGCATGCTGAACGCGCAAACCGCGCTCCCCGATATGCTGTTAGGGGGAGTGGTGAAGGTTCCATATATCAGTTGTGCGTTAAGACCGCCGTAAACACCTTCTATTAACTCGGTTGTCGATTCTGGAATATAACAATAGAAAAGAATGAATAAGGGAGCAATTTTGGTTTAATTACTATCGGAATGATTTCAAATCATACGAAAACTTACGTATTTCATTGAAATAGAAAGGAAAATCGCCAGCGACGGAACAATTGAGGCGTGACTTGAGGAATGACGTCCATCGCTGTTTGAAGCGGTGAGGACCGCCGCGGTCGTCCCGGCATACTCGCGCCACCCGTGAAAATACCGCCTGGGTAGAGATGAAAATTGTTTTTAATTAATGTAACTACATACATACATACATAAACACTCACGCCTGTCACCCAGAGGGGTAGGCAGAGACTACAGACTTCCATTTGGCACGATCCTGACACACCTCTCTCACCTCCTTCACATCCATATACCTACGCATACATGCTCGTCGGTTAAGGGTACTCCTAATTTGGCCCGTTTTCAATAAATTGCCAATTTGGTCAATAAATTTTCGCCTAGGACGTCCCTTTCCGACTCTGCCATTCATTTCTGCAACACACATTTTCTTTGTCACTCTTTCCTCATTCATTCTTTCCACATGATCAAACCACCGATGCATTCCTTTCTTAATCCTGGTCACAACATCATCTTGCAAACCACACTCTTCTCTTATCACACAATTTCTCACCCTGTCATTCAGATTCAGCCCTAACATACTCCTTAACGATCGCATTTCTACTGCGTTCATTCTACTCTCGTGCTTCTTCTGCCACACCCAACTTTCACTACCATACGTTAAAATAGGGACCAACACAGCATTGTGAATTGCCATACGTGCCTTTTTCGACACATTTTGACTCTTCACAATAGAGTGTAGGGCCCCATTTACTCTATTTAATACTCAAATAGAGTAATGTAACTACAATCTTCGTTATTCAATACAACTACTGTTAACTACTGAAACGCTGATTTTCAGCTTATTCCTACATGAATGAATCATGAACAAGCAGGATGTAACATAAGTGTGTGCGGTTGTGATTCGTGTGAGAATGAGATCAAGGTTCTTAGGGTTTATGGGTTTGTATGAACAGGTTGCTTATCGTAATTAGGTATAACGTTATTTTCGTTGATATCGGTTTTTTAGTTTACTAATATACTTTTTGACTCAAATTCAAACCAACAACGATTTGTAGGGAAGTTGTTCTAGCATTTCATTAATGCATATGCGAATCTTCCCCGGAATTCAGCAAAATGAAAATATTTTTTAGGCTTTCCTTGTATCGTATTGTATTGTGCGGGAAAAAATCAAAGCCCGGAGTGCCAACCTGTGCTTAGTCTCCACGCTACCGGGCCTTCTACAAAAATGTCTTTTAACATTGGTAACAAATTAGATTAGAACAGATTGTAAAAAATAATCTGTCATTTTACGTCACTTACGGAGAATGGCCAAAGGGGATTATATTTAGCTAAATCAAATAATATTGTTGGGTAAAAGTAAAAAAAAATTAAAACAAAACTGGTTACGTACCTTTCCGCAATTGATATATTCAACAGCTGTCTCTCGAAAGAAGAAGTACACGAAGTTTCCGTGCACTAAGGAGTTCACAAAGTCAGGAGCTGCGAACAAGAACGAAGTTAGTGGTGCAAGAAATTTTAGGAAGCTTTGACGTAACTAGTTGCTGTAACTGTCAATAGTTATAATCAGTCATAAGTTGGCAAAATAACGGAATTTGGGTTCCTTATTACTCATGTAACTAAAATTTCGTAAAACCTATTCCATACCTAGTTTTGTTTACCTAGTTAATAAAAGGTTGTTTTCATTACCTCGATGAAAAGGTGGGTGTTTTCAAGGTAATAGTGAATATAGAATGGTTAAGAAGAAATGGTATCGTGGTCACTTAGATTTTAAGGGGGGTGAAGCAGATGCGGGCGGGCAATCAGCACGCGGGGCCCCTCGCGTATCCGGCTAGCTAGCTTCTAGCAGTATTTCGTTTATCTACTCATGTGGCAAAAGCGACTAGTAGGGATGGGTAAGTGAAAAATTATATCGATATATATCGTATCGATATTTTTAAACAGTTTCGATATATTCGCGTGATAAATATCGATATACAGTAATGTTTTGCATAATGTAGTAAGATAATACCATTTTGAAATGGTCTTACTGGACGGTTGGATGAGGAAAAAAACGACAACAGTATATGAATGTTTTGTAGCTTCTTTTGTTGCCTAAAGTTTTGTCGATTAATACAACATTTTAAAATATATCGAAATTAATACTAATTCAATACTCCAAGATAAATGTTGAATATCGATATATCGCGATTTAAAAATATTCACGGTATATACATCAATATTTAAGAAAATATCGATATTTCGATAGCCTAGCGATATATATTTCGGATAGAAAGCCTAGCGACAATCTGAAAATCGCTCTTTCATAAGTGTAGGATTATTTCATAACCCACTAATAGATGAATACATCTACGCAGTATACCAAAATAATGTAATTGATTGATATAACCAGCGTTTATTTATAAAATAGTTTTATTTATATAATTGGGTGCACCAAAAGAGCCTCCTCGTGTGGCGACACCTATATTATATTATAGACAGGTATGTATGTATATAACATGATACGATTCGTACCTATGCCAGTAATACCATTTTGAGCCTTATACTACGTAATGCAAAACACGACAGTGTATCGATATTTATCACGCGAATATACCGATACTGTGATATATATCGTATCAATATAAAATACCGATACGATGTATATTGATATACTTTTTTACTTGTCCATCCCTACTCGTCACTATGGTTACACATGAGTACATAAATGGAATATCTACTCATGTGAATGCTAGCAGCTAGCAGGATACGTGACCACGCGCGCCGGTCGCCCGTCCGCGTTTGCTTCACCCCCTAAAAATCCACGATACTATTTCGTCTTAAGCTAGCGTGTTCCACCTTCGACTACATCGGATATATTATTGCAGTGATCATTGACAGTAGGCCTTAACTAAATAATGTAATCTAACTCAACATATTATATTACTGTCATGATATTGTTTACATCAATGATTTAAATGCGATCCTAATCGGATTTATTTCTGTTGACGCATCAAATGCCAGTCGCGTGACTAGCAGTTCATAGGCGCTCGGCTTCAAATTCAATTAACTTGACGGATGACTGTTTGACAGCAATGTTCAAAGCTATCGACCCTTAGTCGACCACACCCAATGTACACACAAAAACATAGTACGACACATTTTACACTAATAGCCAGCTGTTTCTTACAATCTTTTAACGCATTGTCTTTGATTTTTGACTGTCTCGGATTTTATTTTGATAAAATTAATTTAAATAATTATATATTCACAAGAATACAATTAGGATTAAGTATATAAATAAATCTTGTAGTCCGCGAGCAAGCCAAATAAAATTATTGATTGCAAGTGATATGTTAATACGTGCTCGGCGGTGAAGAACCCTGTCGGTTTCATAGGCCGTCACCATTGATATTATGTCAATGGCCATCACTAACAAGACGACTAATACGAGTCTGTTAGCAATACGAACCGCATCTAAATAAATGGCAAATTTGTAATCAAATAAATTTTTATTTGCCAGCGGAATCCTACATCAAATTCCTGTTCTTGTACGAGTAAGCAAGTAGAGGTGGATTGGTTAGCATTCCGAAACATTGAGCATTCTCCAGATACGCTGCAACCGAATTTCAATTTATAATGATTGATAAATTTAGATTTGTGGAGTGTAAAATAGAGTAAACATTCGGCCGATATACAAGCTGTCACTGTATTAATTCTAAAACAATTTGGGTTAATCTTATTTATTAGTGAACCTTTAATCAAATATAATTAATAAAAGAGAAAATATGTAAAATGAAGAAGCAAAAGTGGAATGTTAAGTTTTGAAATTGACCCTAATATACTAGACGATGTGCATTTAAATGCACACTTTTTGTGAAAAATCCTAAGCAATACTCAAGAATATTTTTTATTAATTTTATTCACATTCGCGTAGTGTAATACCCATATCTCACAGCAAAAATATTGATGAGCACTGGCAACACTTGAACGCACAGTAGATCGCAAGATACTTATTATACTCTTTGGCGGGCGTCTACGACATACAAGTTAAAAATTGTTTGGAATTCTAACATTTTCCTATAAAAATGAAAAAAAAAATTTGCTAGAAATAGTACCTAATTATACAATCTTTCGAGTGAACTATAATTTTTTTAATTCAATTTCAATTAGATTTAGAATAGAGAAAAGAATCATAACGATACACGTAGAATGACACGAATGATTCTGCATGTATCTTTTAATGCACGTTGTCAACTTAACAAAAGACCTACCTGAATTTAGGTGTATGCATTTGTGGATACATTGCCAGTTTTAGGAAATTTAATGTATTATTATGGATTACAATGAAATTAACTGTTTGTTTTGAATGGTTATTTAATAATATTTATTTTGTTTTAGCCTTCTGCAAGAGCCGCTAGAATTTTGGCGTTAGTGCCTAAGTCTGGGGCTGGTCCCGACATCGAGAACAGTGATTTTTCAGAAGATGAACTTTATTATGCACTCATAATCGTGAAAAAACAAAAACTTTTCAACAAAATCTTCAACGATCTTGTTGAAGATTCTGATGTAAGTTCAGGCCCACCCTCACTAGGATCTTCATTTGAATATCTTCAATTAATTTCTGATAGTGACGAAGATACTGTTTGTATTACAACTGTAAGCTCGTCAGTGATTGACTAGAATATTAATTTATGCCATCAAGTGTCAACCCCATCTTATCCTAGCCCAGATTCACCGTCTATATTAGCTTCAGTTTCAGTTCCAACTGCGTCAGATAGCCAAAGCCAGCAAACAGAACACCAAATTGTACCCGCTACAAACATTTCATCTATACACAACATCATCTATGACAACAACTTTAGTTTTTTTCTTCGATCGATTGCCACCAAATGGAGATGTAATGTTAAAATTATTTCGCCTATCTAATGGTGAAATTTACACTTTGCTAATAATTTACAAGATGATGGAGATAGGTACTTTAAAGTCAGACATCTCTTAGAAAGTATACGTCCCAAAATTGAAGAGGAAATTCATTTTAGCATAGACGAAATAAAGGTGCCTTATAAAGGTACACGAGCTGATTCACGTAAACAATACATTAAAAATTAACCCCGTAAATGGGCTTTTAAAGTCTTCGTTCGCACAGGAGTATCCGGTATTATTTATGACATTTTTGGATACGGTAGAGAAGACACTTTTTATTATCATGAGTTTACGGAAGATGAAAATGGTGTCGGCTTAGGCGCAAAAGTTGTATTAGCTTCATCCAAGACAAACAAATAACAAGCTTGTTCGATGCTGTACTTCGACAATTTTTTCACTTCTCTAGAGTCGCTGAAGCATTTGAGAAATTAATATGGCATCTTTGCTTTATGGACTATGACGAAAATAGGAAAAGAAGTTATCTAAAAAAAACATTTATTTGAAAATTTTATTTCTGAGATTTCTCAAAATTTATAGTTTACCGTGCTGATTTGACTAAAATTCACATAAAATGTAATAGCAATAGAACTTTCGAATGCCGTGAATCGCGTTTCGATCGGTCAAGCCGTTCAAAAGTAATAAGGAGTTTACATACACGCACATACATACATACATACGAAGGGACATTCTCGTAGGAATAGTCATAATAGCTTCATAGGACTTCAAAACGTGAAGATCTGATGAGAATTCGATTTTCAAGAACCAATAACTTTTCTATTTTTGAAAATTATTGATTTTCAAAGCGGGAAGTTAAGAATGAATAGATTCCGCAATAAAATAATGTCGTGCGCCAGCGAAGCGAATATCAGCTAGTGTATATATGAAGATGTGAGAAAAGGGTATTTAATTTTCCTAAGGTGCCATAAGCCACTGCAGCATAAGAACTACGCAAACTTTAAACTAAAGGTGAGTTATGGACGCTAATATAATAATATCTTCTAGATATATAATCATGTCCGGCTGAGTAAATTTTGGTCACAGCAGCCGGTTTCAACGGAGATCAACCAATCTGCAAGGACAGGATTACAGTACGCAAGTGCGTGCGCAAGCACAGAAGCACTCTCCTTTATAAATTGAAATAATTTTAAGTTAATTTTAAAACAATCACCCATCTCATTGATTACATAATATATGTTACATATACTATAAAAGGGTTTCAGCGTTGTGTCAAATTAATATCAAATTTATCTTATTCTTTGAAAATTCATACATACTCGTATACGTCATAGTTTATACAATCATATATGCTACGTACCATCTTCAAACATGGCTAATGAATGAAATTCAATATCTAACTACCTGTCGTCTTCGTTTACATGCAAACACAACGTGATGGATTTACAACTTCATTCCATTATATGCGTGTTGAATACGAGTCACCTAACATTACTGATTAAATTAATTTCATAATGTTAACGTCGACTTAACTAGTGGAGGTTTAGTTAGTTACAAATTAAGCTTGACTTAGGTTGTTTGTCTTATGTAAACGGTTTACGCAGTTATGAAGAGAGTTATTTGATTTTAAAGCATATTTATTTTACTATGTATTATGTTCTTTATCAGAATTTGTAACCTACTCTGATGGCCATGATGGAATTCACCACATTTACACTAGGTAGTCGATTTTGTGAGGATCGGCTGTCACTAGTAGTACGGGTTGATATCAAATGTGAGCGAATTTTAATAAAAAACTTGTGAGCGATATACCAAACTGTCGTATTTATACCAGATGTAAAATACATACTCATGACTCGTTGGTCTAGTGGTTGTAGTAGTGCGACTGCTGGTCTTGAGGTCCTGGGTTCGAATACCAGGTCGGGCCAAAAAATTAATTTTTTTTTCTTTTTATAGAAGAAGGGGCAAACGAGCATGCGGCTCACCTGATGTTAAGTGACTACCGCCGCCCATGATCAACCGCAACACCAGGAGAATTGCGGGTGCGTTGCCGGCCCTTTAGAAAGGAGTAAGCTCTTTTCTCTTTTAATTATTGAGTTTTTCCGTCAAGGAATTCTCAGTAGTTGCTCGGAGGCAGGAAGTTGGCAGTATCTCACCCCCGTGCCTCGGAAAGCACGTAAAGCCGTTGGTCCTGCGCCTGATCTCTCTCCGGTCGTGTCGGTTTACCGTCCCATTGGATTATGAGAGTGAGGGAATAGAGAGTGCACCTGTGCTTGCGCACACACTTGGGCACTATAATCCTGTCCTGTGCCGATGGTTAGCCTCCGTTGAGGCAGGCCGGCGTGGCCAAAATTCGGTCTGGAGGACATTATTATTACTCATGACTATAAGATTATAAATTAACTTCCCGACGACCTTTGACTAGAAATTTATAATATAGCTTAGCTGTAACTTACAATACAGCTTAATGGACGAAGACAAACCTAATTCTAGCTATTCTAATAATTTGAAGCTAAATACATCATGTAGTGCAGTCGTCGCCAGAAGCAACATAGGAAAACTAAACAAGAAGATTGGCAACAGCGTCGTCCTGATGACATCATTAAAATAAAAGTTATTGGCCGTTGACTCGTCTTTAGCAGACGAGTATGCCAACCATGGCGAATAGATGAGGCAATAATGGGGGACGTGGGTTTGGTGTGATAATTTGCCTATTGAATAAAAATATTCTATCCTATTTTACTTTATCTTTCACTAGTATTAGTATTAGAGGTAAAGTTTTATCTCTCTTATTTTAAGTCAATCACGCGTTGAAGAGGGTGAATTTATTCGAATATGGCCTCCATGATCTAGTTACACTAATTAACTTTTTGCACCACATTTTGTCTATACAGTATTTAAAACATCATATATATGACAAAGTATATATATATATATAATAGCCTAATATTAAGGATACGGACTTCGACACCAGAGAGGCGTGGATTTGAATCCGCTATTCGTTTATTGTCGTGAACCAAACGGGGTATAATAGCGTTACTAGTATTGTTTTTTAAAGAAGTCATCGTCAAAAGGTAAAACACAGGGCTACAATGCACTTACGCTTTTTATTCAATATTTACATACCGTTTAGCGTCATTGAATCATAAGGTTCTGTTTGCAGTGGCTGCCTATAAATGATCGGCTCCATGCCACTGAAGTCTGCAACTGTACCCGAATACAGTTCCCCATCTGGAAACAAGAAAACAAAATGTTTGAAATATATTATTAGGGACATTAAGTAAACTCACTAAAACGAGGCGGGACACAGGTTAGATTAAATTTCCTAGTCATGTCAAGCATGAAGTAAATGATAATAAGTCCTGAAGGTCTGTAACATACGTGGTAGAGCCATGCTGCAGTTATATTAGTAGCATAGTTGTAACACGAATGGGTCGGCTCGACCGTGAAAGGACCACGCTCTCACAGAACACCAGCGTAAAATAGTAGCTTAATGCTGCTGTGTTTCGTATGATGAGTGAACCAGAGACCCTTTTTACTGGAAACGAGGCATTTCATCTTAGTCCTCACAGGTGACAACGCATCTGCATTTTGATTCGTAATTGAGGGTAGATGTAGAAGTCTATGGGCCACAGCAACCACTTACCATCAAGTGGACTAAGTGCTCATTTGTTACCCATTCCTATAAAAACATCTCAAATATGACGAATGTACATATTATAGTTAAAGAGAATACCACAAGTTTTATTTTTAAGCAATCAGATATAATATAGTTAAAATTATGAAAAATATTCCTTTTAGAGTAACGGAGTTTCATACTTTGGCTGAGAATAAACGCTATTTTAATTTTAACTCCGACCCCAAAGTTTGAAGAATGGAAACAAAGGCTCGGAGGTCAAAAAGTTGAATGAAAGTTTTCGCTTATATTCCAATACATTTTATAAAACAAAAAAGATTTTTCGTTTGACTAAAAATATGTTTTATTTTTAGCTAAGGTATATACAGTAATTATAAGTTTTTAATAACATTAGTTCATAATGATTTCTTATATTTAAGCGAACACTCCACATTGATTAAAACTGCTTTTACGGATTTTATCGCGTTTAATTTAAATGATTTTAATTGCCGACGTTTCGGGTGCTTTCCAGCACCCATGGTCACGGGGGACTGAAGTGACTGACGTCCCGATGTCAATGTTAATCTGGAGTACCTTCAGCTTTAATTTCAATAGCCTTATGGTTAGGAATCGATGTTCTTTCACAATGATTTGTGGTCTACTAAATCTAATGTAATGTTGGGGCCGCCTAGGATATGATCATAAACTGCAGACTTTCCGGACGTGAAGCATCAACGTTCCGGGAAGTCATAAAAAACATCACAATTTCAATAGAGAAGTAGGCTGGGTACTACCACCTGCTTGGGACCCTGTAGTTAATAAAATTAAAACTAAACCCAAGTATACCACTTCAAGACTTCAATACACAGTAAGTTCATTCTGCGTAGATTGGACCACAAATAATAATTAAAAAGCTGAAGGTACTCCGGGTTAACATTGACATCGAGACGTCAGTCACCTCAGTCCCCCGTGACCATGGGTGCTGGAAAGCACCCGAAACGTCAGGAATTAAAAATCATTTAAGTTAAACGCGATAAAATCCGTAATAGTAGTTTTAAACATAAGTTCATTTTCAGTTTAAAGCGCAAACAATTTTGTAATTAGGTAATTAATTAAAATCAAACATTAACACGTTGACTGCGAAACGAGGCTTGAAACACCTCGTCCGTGTCTCGTCGTTATAGCGGTAAGGAAAAACTTAAACTTCTCTGTCGTGCGAGAGGCGTAACTTCCGTTTGATTCAGTCTTGGAAAGAGATAACTATATATCTGAGATGTGCTATTGATGCCGAGTTTTTTGGTATATCTACCTTAATACCGGATTTTTTTAGGCCTCGTACCGCACTGAATAAATTAAGTTTTAAAACAGTGCGTTACGAGGTTGCGAACACCTCGTACACCGCACACCTCGTACCGCACCCTACGCTAGCTTTACGCGGTTAGTGTTGTGCAAAACGTTGAACGCTGCACCCGCGACTTTAATAATATTATTGATGATGAAGAGGAATTGGGTGGTAAATCCAATTCTAAATTAAAGTTATTTGAAAAACAGCTAAGTTTCCAATCAATATTTACAAATTATACTCCGTCTAAGTGAAATAATTATGTAGGAATATAACAAATAAATTCAACTGACAAAAGCAAAACACACACAGGCCGTAACGATCCCATACTTATGTATAGAAATTCTCCAATAAATCGCTACACCTAATCAACCCGCTTCAAAAATACACTATCAGTTTATTTTTTCAGAACCCGCTCCAAACAATCCACATCATCTCGAAAAAGGATCAAAGAAAATGAGATGTGTAGGATGCTACGAAAAACTTCGCACCTTCTTATCAAGTCGTGAGGCTTACAAAATAGCAAAGAAAATTCTCACAGAATGTATCGTTTGCAAAAAATATTATTGTTTGCCCTGTTTTAATAAAAAGCGTCCATAAGTACAATTAAATAAAATCGATATTTTTTCCCATCACTAAACAATATGAAAAACTGCCCTTTTTTTTAGTGCGGTATGGGGTACATAAGACCCCACATTTTATTTTACCTATAGAATCTAAACTAAATAATCCGCCCACAGGCGGCGGCAGATTTAGATTAATCAACTCATTCTTAATGATAATCGCGACAAAAACCACACAATTCGCCTTATTTGGCGCCAAAAAAAGAATTTTTGTCTCATGTGGGCGGTGGGGTTTATTTAGCCTCGTGCCGCTACAACTTCTGGTTCAGAACGAGGTTTCAAACGTCTCGTAATAATGGAAAGTACAGATAAATCAGTGCCGCGGGGAACGTGTTAATCTATCATATTCATTGTTTATTCAATATACATAATATGAAAAATATGTATTAGCCTTTCAATTCTTGTGGTGTGTAAGGTTATGAAGTTGATGATGATGATTAAACAATAGTCAATGTTTTTTATTAAGCATTGAGATATTGTCGATTGCTTCTTTTGCGATTAGCACTTTCGACGCTGTTGCCAGTCGCCGATCTGATTTTTTTATATCTGGTGTAAACGAGATGACTATACCGTCATATATCAAAAGCCATAATTTTTTTTCTATCATGTCCCTTAGTCGCCTCTTATATACTCACCGGATGCATGGGGCGATGGATTCTCTTATAATAAATAAAATATGTGATTGTGTACTAAAAATCTGGTATCTCAAATTAAATATCTCTTTAAATTCATAAATACAGATAAAGAATGTTAAAGAGCAAAAATTTTTTGCAAAATGTAAGGCTCGCCATTAGTTATTAAAAAAAACTTAGTTTGATAGTTTGTACCACCAGTTCACTACTACTATGGTTCCATTCGAATCACATCAGTTTGTCTCCATCATTAATATCACTTCGCTCGCTCTTGCTCAGCCAGCGCCCAGCAGTGTCAGCTTTTGTCTTTTTCATACCGTAAGTTCAGTTGAGCACAAATTATTAAAAACCAGTAGATCAGTTTTAAGATGAAATGAATATTTTACAGCAAAGGGTTTTCTAATGACTAACTTGTTTTAAGTTGAGAGAGTCTTGAAATATAAAAAGACTATGCGAATATTTTTTGTTTGTTTACTGATGGACGATGATCCATTTTTTTTAAATGACTGCTAAGGACATGCAAGACTGAAGATAACGACGAATTTCGGCTAATACTATCGCTAAAGTGAGCATGAGCATAAGATGAAGTATGAGCCTTGGCAGCTCAGACGATTAACGCTCGCTGTAAATATAACAGAACGCGAGTAACCCCGGTTCGATCCCCGCCGGCACCAATGAAATTGTTAATTGCAATTTTAAGTGCTGATTTACCACGTGCTCGGCGGTGAAGGAAAACATCGTGAGGAAACGTGCATGTCTGAGTAATGAGAAAAAAATATTTCGAAGACTTGTGAAGTTCGCCAGCACGCATTGGGGCAGCGCGGTGGACAGTTCCTTGCTCTAAAACCCTCTCAGAAATGAGGGGAGGCCTGTGCCCAGCAGTGGGACGTATACGGGCTGTAACTTTTACTATCGCTAAAGAACTTGCATTGAATCTGTATATTAAATAATATTTTACAAAACTAATAAATTTTAAATACCCAGATGTACGATCACTTTCGGTTCAGTGAGCCCTAACGTATAATTCAATACTCACGAGCCCTAATTTTGTACGTAACATGAAAACGACTACGTGACCGGACTGCGCTCGCGAAGAACTAATTAGCACTTCCGGGTCATAGACAATTGGTGATTCGAGTTGGAGATCGACAGGAATTACAGTTATTATTGTCTTATTCACAGCCTTAATTGAAATTATCTTTATAATGAGGTAATTAATAGAACTTCTTATTTTGCTATCACATCTCTTTTAGGTGTCTCTTAAAAGAATTAAAATTTACTAGAGCAATCTGAATAGCCATTATTAGTGCTAAATAACACCGAGATGCTGTTCGCTGTTTCATAAATAATGTTCCGTGAATTATTAATATGTCGTCACAGTACGTATGGCATCTGAGATTTTGGATAAGCAAATTAATTAATTCATTAATTACAGCCCTATGTGGGCGGCCCATTGCCACTTTAGCTTACTATTCCGTTGGGTTATATCGGTTACTCTGGTTCTACTAGGTAAGCAAATAATTCAGAGTAATAGACAACTGAAATATAAACTCTGAATATGAAATTCTACCGGTGATGATTTTTGTCTGTCATAAACACAATTTACTGCGATTATCATTTGTATTTTGTGTGCTATATCTGACCGCTTTAATTTTGTCACCTAAGCACTACATCGAATTACAGAGGCGATATGAAAATGTATGATTTAATCAGAAAAAAGAAATTTAAAGACGTTGATAGATTTAAAAATGAAATAGTAAGTATCTGCCAATGCTTTTAACGTAGATAATACAGAAATGCATTTTAAATTTAATTCATATATGCATGCAAAGTCAGGAGCTCAATGTAGGGCATCATAGTGAGTGTAGATGTCTTTATTTATATCCAAGACGAGATATATTCTGTGCTGAAAATGAAAAATGTGGGAAATATTAAGGGGAAATATAACCTCAAATGGCTTAGCAAGATCCTCCGTTATGCCGAAAATGTTACAGCATTAATTTTGAAATAAATATATG